CCTTTGCATTAAATCTATGAAAGCGCTTCCATTTAGAAATTTCCTTGCGACAGGAAATAAGCCGAGAAGAAATATCAATCTGTCTATTCCCTGACCCATTCCAACCCCTTTGAACAGCAGCTTTAAACCCATCTTTGTCAACCAATCTTTTATCAAAACAGAACTGACCTTGATGGGGCACAAAATCATTAGTGATGGTAGTAACAAGAGGACGATGATCAGATTCAATCAACTCTAAAAATTCAGCATGAGAAGCCGGATACTGCGCAATCCACTCATTATTAACCAATGTTCTGTCCAAACAGCAAGCCACATCATGAGAATGTCTCTTTCCAACCCAACTAAATGGATCACCAGTATACTTGAGATCATGGAAATCACATGTATGAAGCATATTTCTGAAATCAATGAAAGAATTCTCAGAGCGAGGAGGACCTCCTCTCTTCTCAGCATTACTCTTAATCTCATTAAAATCACCAATGGCCATCCAAGGACCAGTTCTGGAAGCAGCAAGTCTCTCAAGTCTTTCCCAAACCAGATGGCGAAAGATAGGATTTGGGTTACCATACACACAAGACAAGTAGAAACCAAATCCATTAATTTCAACATACGTATCTACAAGGTTTGGAGAAAGAGAGATGACTGAAACAGAAACACAACTACTCCACATGAGAGCTATACCACCACTTAGACCAGCAGGAGGGACAGTTACAACATTAGAAAAACCAAGATCACCACAAACATCCCTAACTACATCATCCTGCTGCTTTGTTTCCATAAGGCAAATGATGTCCGGAGAGAATTTCTTCTTAATCTCCTTTAGACGTCGAACTGCGAGGTCATTGCCTAGTCCTCTACAGTTCCAAGCAGTTGTCCTCATGGAGGAAGAGGTGGTTTAGGGCCCACCGCGCCTCTATCAAGTCGAGTTGGATGATCAGCTTCACCCGAGCTTCCACTGCACTCTCCCACATTCCGATACAACACTTTAGAGCTTTCATTAGGACCTGGACAATCAAAAGAATCATTACGTTTACGTTTCCCACTTTCAGAAACAGCAGCCATCACCATATCAGTATTCATCGAATCCTGAACAAAGTTGGGATGGATCAGAGGATTAGTGGAGAAGTTGGCAAGAGGGTCCTGATAAATCTCAGCAGTGAGGTCTTCAATATGGGCCAGAGAATCATGGTTAGGATCAAGATCATCAAGGGCTTCATCTGCGTCAGAGACGGCTTCAACCTCTGGTACAACAACATCGGCCTCTGGAATAACAGGATTAGGCTCTGCAACAAATTCCCGAATCACTACACCACGATTTTGATGGCCAGCCGGAGGTGGAAGATCTTCATCATCATCCTCCTCAACAACCAGATCTTCACCCCCATTGGGGAGAACACAAGCCCCAGTGTCATGAGTTAACATGCC